TAGCATTTTCACTCATCCCTCTTAAATTCAAACACTTCTAGATGCATTGGTTCTTGTGACCTGAGGTGTAAAGAAGATTTAAGATGCTATATGTTGGTTAAATGTTAACAGAAGTGGGTGGTCTCAAGCCTTTCTTTCAAAGTTTGTGCTATGTACAATATGTGTGATGGCAGGCAAGGCCCTGCTGGCAATGCATAGGTTTCTTTTTGAATTTTTGGCATTCTTGCTCAGGGTAGAGAATGTACAGGTGTAGATCAAGTTTTTATTATTGTTTTCTATTATATTTTACTGATGTTGTGGACTGATTTGTGTCATCGCTGTTGGAGCAGAACCATGCAGTTCCATTTTTGTCGTTTCTCATTTTTTTAATGATTTGAAAACGCCAGCTGCCACTTACATTGTGTCTTTCTTGAAGAATGGAACAATAGATTTCGTCCAAAATGAGAAATTAAAAATTAGTTAACTTTTAGTGGAAATTAAGCAGATTTTTTCCTTCTCCTGTAAAGTTACAGTTTGGAGATTGGAGGTAATGTGATGAATTACATTTAAATCTAATTTACACTCTATGTTGACAGATTTGACTGGTTTTTGTTTCAGTGTCAAGAAATGACAAAAAACAAAATGTGAAGGATGTTTTTTCTTTGTGCAAAACAAGATTGTGTACACAAGAACCTTTCATCAAATTCAAATCCTAATAAAACATCTTCTTTTCTACTTATAAACACAAACTTGGTATTGATTGAAAGCTTAGACTCTGCCCTTTTGAATGTCTTCCCTTGTTTCTGTGAGCTATAAGTGGGAAACAATAAACTAAATATAAAAAGAGGCATTTCAAGGCATGCAATCAATTGAGGAACCTAGGAGGGTTAAACATAATAACACATATTAGACTTTTCTAATTCCAAAACTCAACAGAATTTCTTTGCTTCTGACCACTAACCTTTTGCGCTGAGTTAACTGAGTTGTTTTCTGGGTGTTGGTGTCAGGGCCATGACCTCTCCAGTATAACAAAAGGCTTTCTCTAATGATCCCACTGTAAGCATCTATCTATTGAGACCACATGTGTAGTGCTGTGTGTTCAGGGGTTTTACTGCATCCCTCAGCTTCATCTCCTCTTATCAGTTCCTGTGTGGCCTGTGAGGTGGAAGGAGAATGGGACGGCTGCAGGGTTTGAGCATCCACTGCTCCAACTGCAGAGAAGTGGGTTGGCTAATAAGAACCAAATGCTCTGTGTTGTCCACTGGCTTTGATTAAAGCCTCTCACAGGAGCAGATGATGGTGAGCAAGGATGTTGAACTGTTGTGAAAAGGTCACGGAAGGAAGAGATGGGATTCTGTTTTATTCTCGTTTCTCTAAAACCCTCCATACCCACGTTTCCCCCCTCCCCCTGTTTATCTATTTATGAATTGCACAACTTCTGGGAAGTTTCTTCCTGGCTGTGTCAAAGCGCATTTCGTGCTGTTTGGACATCAAAGTGCCGTGCGAGAGGAAACGAGGACCACCACGCCGAGATGAGGAACAACAGCGTACTACTGCGTATCAGTGCTGCCTTTGATGTAGCCGTGTTGTGAAGGCAGTGCTTGGAGAAGCACATTTGATATGCATTCTGCATGGACTCCATTAGGATATTGCGGGTTCATTAAGGCCGATTTAAGTGTTTCCATGCTGTGTATGCTGCATTTTGCCTTTAGTGGAGTGATTTTAACCCTTCGATTCAGGCCCTTTGTTCTGTAATCATCAGCTCGTCCTATACTGTTGACATAATGTGGAAAGGACATCATTTTTGCTCAGGTTTTTGATCTCAGCATTGAAATGCCATAGTGCTTATTAGGACTTTACAATATGGACATCACCTTAGGGCTTATTATGGCTATACAATATGGACATCCAAAAAATGTGGATGTTGTGATAACTATATGAGAAGCAAAACATTATGATTAAAATAGTGCCTCTGACTGAGTGTTCATCAAGTACCAACCCTAACACAGAGACGTAAATAGACAGAAATCCAACATTTTCTTTTAAGCAAAAAAAAAACACCAATCATCATTATGCAAAGTGCAAAAGAAGTGTACTGAAATACTAATATGCACTTCATTTTAATAGAATTCACCATGATAAATGTTTTTGCAATGCAGACATCCAGAAAGAATAAATTTCGCATGTGACATTTCGCAACTGATCAGTGTGCAGCAATATGCTTTGACCAGTAACTAGTTATCTGATATAATTATGTTCACTTTTGTCTTTTTACTGTCTATTGAGATGCCAGTTAGCCAGCTTGCTAACTGCTACGTTAACTCCATGGCTAACTCCAGCTGCACACAAGTCACCCCAGTGATGCCAACCATGGCATTTATCTACACATTTTTGGGGCAACTTATTCTGAAGCACTGTACTTACATGTGTATATAATTATCTGATAGAAATATGTTCACATTTGTGTTGTTTCTGTTTGTGATTAACTAGTTAGCTAGCTTGCTAACTGCACCAGTATGTTTGATTTTGTTGTTGTTGTTTTTATTTATTTATTTATTTATTTAGGTCTTCAGTCTTCCAGACCAGTCATACCCAATTTGCAAAACAATGCAAACTGCAAAAGTGTAGGGTGACTGTGGCTCAAGGCTGATAGAAAGTCAGTCAGCATTCTGTAGGCTGCTTGTTCTGTAAAGGCCTACAAAAACAAATAAATATATTTTTATTTTCTATATGAGCATACAAAAACAATAACATATATATTTCATACCTTAAAGAGCTCATTACAGTGACGCAGTTTTGTTGTGACACTAGCTATCATTGCATCACACCATTACTTCTACACACATTGTATTTTTACAGGCTAGTAGTTCAGGATGAGCTGTAAATATGTGTGTATTGTAAGTAGGTGTGCTCTATGCACAGTGGACCAGTGTTCGAGACCTTAACTATGTGTTTATCATGAGCACTCATATCACAATGATGATAAAATTACAGAAGAGGAGCCCTAAGTACTCATGACAATCCAAATTTCTCTGATCTGTTTGACATTTTTAATCTGAAGATGAAATGAGATGACAGCATCTTTTTTGTGAAGACAAAATAACACCTGCTTTATCATTAACCCTTAAATGGCAGACTTATTACTCAGTTACTAATCTTAAGACTTATTATTCCGCAACTACTTTATTATTTAAGTAACATGAAACTGATAAGTAGAATGTAGATACGAGACAGAGAAGTTAAATGTGGGCTTCAAAAGGGTCTCTTAAAAGGTTAAACAAATTCTCAGGTTCTGTTTTTATATTTGTTTTAACATATTTATTACCATGTGGGATGTGATAGTTTCTATTGTCTAAATAAGCAAAAAGCATTTTGATGTTCATTCTAGCTGTAATAAAATAGAGAGCACTAGTGTTACTTCAGTAACTGAAGCTCAGTCAGTGAAGGTCATGTCATCATAGCCTTCTGGCTATTCTCATGCAGAAACTGCTGCACATGAACAGTTTTGATTATTTGTGTTTGTATGTAAGTTTTTGAGCGTGAAAGATAACATTTTACTCAACAACATGTCTATATTGTTGACATAGTTTACTGAGGATAGCATGCTCACCATTGTTTCTCACATCTTTGATCTCAGCATTGTAATACCACAGTGCCCATGGGATACTAAATAAGAAGCTCCACTGTGTGATCTTTCACTAACATTTCTGAAAATGAAAAAGAATATCTGAGGTTTATGCTAGTAGACTCTTCACGTGAGCCCCCTAGTGGTGTAGACGCCAGTTAAAAATCAACCTGAAATCAAAACTGACCCTGCTAGTTAACAGTCATTACACGTTTGGCATTGTATACAGTGATCTTAGGCTCATGTGAAGTCCTGACACAGTTCTTGCTTACAGAGGCACTTTGGAATTGATTGATTCAACAGTGGATAGATGTTTTTATGCGCTGCATGCAAACACTTGCTGTTGACCGGGGCTGATCTGGCAGTGCAGAAGTTTCACGGACTGACTTGTGGCAAAGGTGGCATCCTATGATGGCACCACAATTAATATCACTGAGGTTTTCACTATGACCCATTCTACTGCCAGTGTTGTCTAAGGAGATGCTTGGCTATGTGCTGGATTTTATACACCAGTTAGCAATAGGTGTGGTTGAACTCAACAAGTAGCCAATAGTGTGCATCCACATACTTTTGGCCATATATATATATATATATATATATATATTTGGCCATATATAATATCACCCTGCTAAACCGTTGTTAACGTTTCTCCCTTCAGGAAAAAGGCTTAAATCAATTAAAACAAGAACTTCACAGCATCTGAGTAGCACATATTGTAGTAGTATTCAGATACTTAATAGCTCTCCCTTTTTACAGCAATAATCTTAATATTATTTTTATGATTGGTATGTTTTTAATTTATTTGTTTTTTATTTTCTTTATATTTATATTTGTCTTATATTTTTACGCTGTATCTGTTGTCCTGTTTCCTTGATGTGTTTTTTTTATTGTAACGAGCACACTGAGACAAATTCCTAACTGGTTGGTATTTATCGTCATTGGGATAAATTATGTCACATTATGTCTCATTAAGCTTTTCTAATTAAAACTTTACTACCTTTAAAACTTTTCACTACTCTCAAAATAGGCATGTCTGATCGCAAAGAGAGCATAATTGGTCCAGTTTAATCGGATGTAATGTTGCACAGTGTGTGAATGTTTAAGAAAAATGATTGATGTCAGAAAAAATCTTGTAACATAGTGTATTGTGAAAACTTCTTTAAGCATTGTGAAATTACTTTTTTGCCATGTTGCTCAGCTCTGTTCCTTACCACAGTGTGGATATGGCAATAATCATTGAATTGAATTGAAAAGTCTGTTAGTTAGATCTCTGGGCTAACTTCACTGGCAAGCACACAGACATAGAAACTTACTTGCTAATCGACTCATGATGTTGTGTAAGTCACTTTGGATATATGTAAAGATGTCATTAAACAGATACGCTGTCTTTTTGCAGCCCCATAGTGCTGCTCAACGTCTGGAGGACAGCGGCCCTTTAGAAGAGGAGCTGAGAGAGAGGCCAGTGCTGTTGTGGCAGCCCACCTCAGGGGATTACTACAGACACATCAGTGAAACGCACAGGGATATGGACAGCCTTAAGGTTAACCCCATTAACACTTCATAACTTTGTCAGTAGGACAAGTAGATGTGACATATGGTATGGACCGTGTCTTAGGACTTTGAGTGGGAAAAGCCACTACAGTGGCTGTGGTGTACATGATCAGCATTGGTTTCATTGTATTCAGATATTTCATCTCCAGTATGCACAGTATACAGATGTGGCTGGTATGAAACAGTAATAGTGAAGAATATATTTAATTCTTGGATTCCCAGAACCATCATTGGCCAATGAATCATTAAATGGATGAGGTGGAATCACTATGATAATGCTTCTGGGAAAGGGGACAAATTGGACATCCACCAGTTAGAGAATAGGAATTCAAATCAGGCCTTTATTAAATGGTAGTAGTAAATTCTGGAGGCTAGTAAAGTTTCATTCTTAAAAGACTGCTTCTTCTCTCCTAAAGAAGCTTATATGTCAGTGATCTTGAACAAACTGGAAGTTAGTTTTGCTTTAGAGGCAGCTTTATTTCTACTTAAACTTCCACACAGATTCTATACAACCAAAAGATGTTCAGTATCAGGACTGTAATGGTTCACTTACATGGAACGATGCAGTTGGAGCTAAGGGTCCCTAAGTTATTAAAGCAGTGTTTCTCAAACCATCCCTTTGGGGCTGTTCTACATTGTTGCTCTTTCCCAGCTTCCAGCACTTGTTAGGCCATTAAAGGAATGAATCAGCAAAAAATCCCATTTACACAATTTTCCACTTACCCTAGTTGATCATCCAAGCCATATTCGGTGTCCAAATTTGCCTCTTTAGTTTTAACGTTGCTAACAAACACTGGAAATCAATAGACATTTAAATCCTTTCTGTAAATACATCCTCAAAACTTCTCTGAACCTGCTCAAACCACATCCAGTTCTCACAGACTTGTGGTTTAGGACAAAGTATGACTTACTATAAATTATGAATATAAATTTCACTGTGTGAGTGCTGCAGGCAGCCATTTTATTGTATTTTATTTTTTGTCTTTTTAAATCCCGGCCTACGTTGGGCAGCCATTTTGAACAACATGTCTTGTTGAATTCCGCCTCTTAGTCACATGCATGTCATGCAGATATATGGATGCCACAGATTACACTCACCATTGTTATAGTTCTATTTATAAATAACTGTTGCATTTTCTAACTGAACATGTTTCTAACTGAACAAAAATGACAGAAATCTTTGAATATGATCTACTGTCCATGTGCCTGTGTGACATGCATACATGTGAAGAGGAATCTGAATTTGACACATCTGTTACTGTTGCACAGTAAAGTTTTCATTTTTATACCACAGGTCTGTACAACATTAATGAAGGTCTGGATATGGTTTGAGTGAGTTGAGAGAGGTTTTGGGGATATATTTATGGAAAAGATTTGGGTGACTGTTGATTTCTAGTGTTTGTTAGCAATATTAGCACCAGCGGGCCCAGAGTTTTATTACACACTTATATAACCTAAGAATAGCTCAAACAGTTTGCCTTGAAGTTCCTGTAGTTACTAAATAATAAGCCTTAGTATGTAATAAGCCTGAGATGTTAAGGGGTTAAGATCTGAATACCTGTGTGCTGGGTACTGGAGTTAGAGCAAAAACGTAGTCTTGAGGTTTGATAAAGAAATAAGAGAGTAAATGATAATAAATATTTTACAGTTTACTGTTGCTAAAAGATACTAAAAACACTGGAACTGATCTAATGGCCCAGTGGCCTTTACACTTCAAAGGCACCCTGATATTACATAAAGTATTATTTATGTTGGTTTTCCAGTAGTTTTTGAAGTTTTGTAATTTATGTTTCTTGAATTTTATTTCCTTATTTATTGTAAATCCTACTACTACTACTACTAATAATAATAATACTTTGTCATATTATTTGTCATAAAATCTCTCTCCAGCACCCGGAGACTGAAGATACCCCCCAAGCTCGTTATCCCCCTCCGCCCCCTGCTCCCCCTCTCCCTGCTTCCTTTCTTCCACCTCCTTCATCATCTGTTTCCCAGGAGAAATCTATGGCCAGCAGCATCCAACATGTCCACATGGCCACCACGGGTGAGAGAGCCTCAGGTGGGCTGTTTTTGCCCCCATGCACTGTGCAGCACACTCGTTAATTCTGACAGGCGGTTATGGGAACTGACGTCATTATTGACTCATCCTCCCTTAATTTCACTTAATGACTTAATTCCACCGTAGTGAGTAATGCTAATCAGCCTGTGTAAATATGATCGGAACATGAACGGAAACATATGAGGGGAATAAATAATGTTCATGTCATTGCAGTGGTGAAGAGCCTCAGCTCCAGCAGTCCTACGAGCAATCCTGTGCCAGAGAAAGGGAGAAAACTGCTGGGAGAAATGAAACTGGGAGACATGAAATCAATCACCTCTCTGAAAAACTCTAAATTAACAGAAAATTTTACTCCCTCTGTACGTAAATTCAGGTTTCATTTGTATTTTGTGACTGTAAAGAATTTGTAAGATTCTAGTTGCATTTTATGTGCATTATGATTGTTGATTTCTGTGTGTTTATATATGGTTTGTATGGATTGCAGCTGAAATCCAAAACCAAAAAAGTGATTAACACCAATCAAATACAAACAATAGAAACTAGTTGTTCAATACAAACTAGATTTTTATATCTAATATAATACATATCTAGCTTTTTCATATATAATTGTGTGCATTTACACTACAAATAATTGTACATATTTATACAATGTGTACTGGTTTGTGTCATCTCTTCTTAGAATAAGATGGTGGTGTTGCCCACGGAAGAAGCTAACCTCTCTGATATTGACTATTTGGTGCCTACTCATGATGAGAAGGGCAGGCCTATAGCTGAATGGAAAAGACAAGTGATGGTGCGACAGCTGCAGGCTAGACTACTGGATGAGGAGGCCCAGAGAAGGAAGGTAAACATGTTTACATCTTTGTGTAATATATCTGTGAATGTTGGCTTTATCTAAAATGGTTTTGGTTTTGGGATTGAACAGACTCTTGCTATTTGACATGCTTTAACAGGAGAATGGGAATAGATATGCAAAGATGGACAGCTGGAGGTACTCTCAAGCGCACAATGCCATTCTGGGTCCGTTTGGAGAACTGCTGACCGAAGATGACCTCATCTACCTGGAGAAGCAGATCAAAAGTGTCTCCATGCAGAAGAACTGCGAAGGCTATGAGATGGAGCTGGCTCGTCTAGCAGAGGAACTCCGGAACATTCTTCCAGCGCCAATCGTCAACATCACGGTCAATACTCAGTACGGGAACCCTAACGCACAGATTCCACTGCCTGTATGGTGCAATCGGATATCAGGGATTGTGAAGAGCATGTCCCTGCTAATGAGTAACTTGACAGACCAGCCCTATTGCAAAATGCCTAACACTGAGCTTGTGAGTGTCTTCTCTCAAAACTTTGAGAGGCAGAACTCCAGAGGTCGGAGAGAGAAGATCGAAAACGAGATCCATGAGTTTGGTGTGTCAGTGCGCAATCTGAAGTCCAACTTTGAGAATCAAGATGTTCCTGTCACTGAGGATTCAGAGAGTACGGAACTGTCTGCACAAGAGGAACAACCAACAGAGAATGACTCAAGAGAAACCTCAGAGAATCATGATCCAGCAACAGAGGTGATCCAGGATGATTATGTCGTTGGCTATGATGAAGCCAATGATGTTATGGAGACTACAAGCCTGCGCAAGGAACGTATAGTTGTCCTGTTCCTGGGTCACTGGAAGAAGTCTGCATATGCCGTAACTGTCAAAAATGCACAACGGAAGCACAGCATGGACAGTCAGGAGATGATAGAGAGGAGCAAGTTTCACCGCAAGGCCAGCTTGGATATCTCACCCAAAAAAATGATGGAGAATGGCTCCTTGGGACACTTCTTCAAGCAGAGGAGTGCCATCAACAAGATGATCGGCAACTGGAGGAGCATGATATCTATTGTTCCATCTCGGCAGATCCGCAGACTCAATCGGCAGCAGGCCCTCTACTCACCTGAGCAGTTCCTGCCCCGTGTGGATGGAGCACCCGTAGACTACGACACGCTAACATTGGACCTTTTCATGCTGGGATATTTCCACATCCTTGAGCTGGACCTTACGGCAGATGAGAGGAAGATGAGGCACCTGTTATGCTTCGAGGTGTTCGACCACGTGGGCCGTTTTAGCTGGGAGACGGTGCGGGATTTCCACAAGGCTGTGATCCAGGACATTGAAGCTGGGAACAGGGAATGGAAGGATGGGTTTGAGGATATCAAGATCAGATTCTTTGGCGAGGCATCCAGCCAGCCAGAGGTGGGAGATCTGGAGAAAAGCCCACCGGCAGAGATGAGGCCAGTGCCCAAAGTCATTGTGCAGACTCCGACTCCAGATGAGAGTGATATCCTTTCGAGAAGCCCAGACATTACCAATTTGAGCAATGATGACATCTGCAAATACATTGACAGAAGTTTTGCCTTTTGGAAAGAAAAGGAAGCAGAGATTTTTGACTTTGAGTGATATGGGCAAGCAGTTTTATACTCTTCTCTTTTGATACCTTTGTGTAAAATATTTACTGGACAGAAAATGTTATCTGAATAATCAAATGCCTTGTATGAGGTCAAATTTTTGTTTGGTTAGATTTAGAGTTCTTTTTAACAGAGATGTAGAAGTTCTAGAAACCAATATTACTTGGATAGCTGTTTCAAGTTTGCTGTTTGTATGAACTTTGTATGCACATGTTTTGCTCATTTGTCATTTGACTGGTATAAACTGGACCATTTAATAATCTGTTGCAATTCAATTAATAGAATCATTAAGTACCCTCATATATGGAGTTTGTATGCTGATTTTGAAATATACCTTCTACCTGAATGCCCGTTGTAAGACTTACTGCCGTATTGTATTCAGTGATCTGCTTAACAAGCCTTTTTAATCAAGTCTCCATAGTATCACTGTCCACACCCTTACAGGAAACTGAAGCACTGTAACTGTTCCAGTGAGCTCTTGAGCTTTTAATCATTTAATCATGACTCTAATGATTAAATGAATTAATCATCTTGCCCACTCTAGTGTACCCAAGAGTGTGTGTGTGTGTGTGTGTGTGTGTGTGTGTGTGTGTGTGTGTGTGTGTGTGTGTGTGTTTGTATATGTGTGTTTCTCTTTAAGAGCAGGTGGGAGTTGAGCCTGTAGTGTTTGGAATCTGAATATAGTCCCTCACTGCTGACTGAACTAAAAATAGTTGGGTGAAAGACAAGCATGCTGTCCCTATGACTCGGCGACAGCATTTTGTGTCCCTGGTTCAACAATCAGCGACAGGATCCAGTGTATTTAGCAAGTTATTTTAAATGATGTGTGATTTCTGCTTTCGTTTGACCCACAGGTAAGCTCCTGTTTTACTTCAGTGTACAATTTTGCAAAGTAAAAGGAAATTTACGGAAACAGGAAAGTACCTTATAGATATGTGTTAGTCTCTGGGCTTCATTTTAGCTGTTAGCTGCTACGGAGTAAACACAAATATAGTCATTAAATGTGTAATGTGAGAATGGCTGTCACATGATAAACAGTATTCTAAAGTTATATCTGCAACATTTTATTACTGAGAAAACTGGTTGGTTAGCACCATGAAAACCCTTAGGAAATGCCTAATTAGATCAATTGATTCTGAAACTCTTAAAACATAATCACATTTGTCTGTCTTAAAATATTTTAATCTCTACTTGTGCATCAAATAGTAATTGTCCCTCAATAGGCCTACAGTGTTCTTTCTATTTATTACTTGTTTTGTTTTCTCACAAAATGTTAAACTACTACTGGCAAGCATATAGTTATAAATGTATCCTTATCTGCTGTCATGACTTCATTCCTTCATCTGGTCTTCTTCAAAAGTGCTCAGTCACTGTATCACAGAGCGATAACATATGCCATTTGAGTTATAAAAGGTCTTTTAAAAGTGAACCTCTTGAACCCCAGGGTTATGATTTGACTATTAATCTTAAGACTTACTCTATATGTCCAAAGGTAAGCAGATATGAATTTGGCTACTTTAAGGTGAACTCACTGCTGACACAGCTTATATAATCTCCATAGAAAAGCATTGCCAATTGAATGGGATGCTCTGAAGCTGCCTAACACGAGCCTAAGATCACTATGTCCAAGCGTCGGGTGACATAAATGCCGTTTGTGGTTCAGAACTAATTATCCAACATCAGAACCTGACCTCACTAATGCTCTTGTGGCTGAATGTAATCAAATCTTTACAGCAATGTTCCAACATCCAGTGTAAAGCCTTCCTGGAAGAGTGGAGGCTGTTCATCAAAGAGGGGGACAAGCTCCCCATTAAAGGGGACATATCATCATGGAAAACTGAATATTCTTATTTGAAATAAATGTTTTGATGTAGTATGTAAACATTGTTAAAGTGTACCGTTCATTCCTCAGTCCACACAATCTCTGTATGGAAACTAAGCTGCAGAAAACAGCCTGTTCAGTGTTCATTGCTTTTGTGATGTCATAAACAACTCCATTTACACATATCCACTTATTCAATTTACAACAGTTTAGCTCTGCCCATTCATGCTCATTCCTAGCCCATTCAAGCCTAGGCTGCTTACTATCAGTCTTAAAGGCACAGTAACAAAAAACAGCCTCTTTCATTCTAATACACTGGCAATGTAGAATATAATATCTCTGATTTCAGAAGAAATGTCAGATGAACTGTTGTCTTCAAATGTTTGAATATAGAGTGGATTATTCAGTAACATCTTTACAGTATTTCGTAATGTATAGTATAGTTTATTGCTACTATAAAGCAAAATGTAATTTGTAAAGTATATCCACTTACAAGCCATTGCTTGGGAATGGTATTACTATTGATGTTGAATCACCACAGATGACTTGTATGTGTCTGAAAAAATTCTCTCATCTCCCTGTACAGATAAACATTGGACATAAGTGTTGGTTGTCTTGAAGCCCATTAAGAGTGCTGGTCACCTGCATCATCATGGTACGTAATGTGGACGACTTGGATTTCTGCCTGTCCTCTCACCCTCAGAGCATCCTAGAGGGCTTGCGTTCTCTCTGCTCCAACCCCAAGCTGGTGGACATCACCCTGAGCGCTGGTGGACAGGACTTCCCATGCCACCGTGGCATCCTAGCTCTCTGCAGCCTCTACTTCCGCTCTATGTTCTCGGGGGACTTTGTAGAAAGCATATCAGCCCGTGTGGAGCTTCATGATGTGGATCCTGATGTGCTGGCCACTCTGCTGGACTTTGCTTACACTGGAAAGCTTACTATCAACCAGAGGAATGTAGAAGGCCTCATATCCACCTCAAGCCAGCTTCAGTTCCACACTGTGCGTGCTGTTTGCAGCCGGTACCTCCAGCACCAGATCGATGCCACCAACTGCCTAGGCATCCAGGAGTTTGGAGAGATTCACGGTTGCCCTGAGGTAGTGGCCAAAGCCAAAGCCTTCCTGCTGGAAAACTTTGAGGCTGTGCAGCAGCACGAGGAGTTTCTGCTGCTGGAGGAGGACAAGCTGGCGGCCTGTCTGAGAGACGATGCTCTGCAGACGCGGGATGACTGTGCCCGAGCTGAGGCGGTTCTTGCTTGGGTCAGGCATTGCAGGGACAGCCGGATCTGTCACTTGCCAGAATTACTGAGACTGGCGAGACTCCCACTTCTACCTGAGACTTACCTTAAGGACAGCCTGCTGAAAGATCCACTGGTCCAGGACTCAAAGGAGTGCAGAGAACTGCTGGAGGTTGTTTGCAGAGAGGTCAGTCATGTTGTCTTTTTGCTGTGATAGCAAGCACGTCTAATCAATAGCATGCATCTTGTAACATTCGCTACCTGGTCTTCCGGGTGGCACAGCTACCTATGCAAGGGCCTGATCAGCGGGATATCACAAGTTCTATCCCAGGTGATGCCAGGTGGGAGACCAAGAGACCAAGCATAACCACACTCACTTTCGCTGGGTGGGTAAGATGGCCCTCCCACTCTGCGTGATGTTAGCCACTGTGGGCATCTGTTAGCTGACTTAACAAAATTGAAAGTTAGTGAACTCAAGCTGCCCAATGACATTGCATTAGTGGCAGATTCAAAAGAGGCAGTGGCGCTTTTTGAAAAGTTTTTTGTAATTAAATTCCTAGCCAACCTCTGAAAAGCTATGGTTTGGCCACTGCCCGCCATGTTTACCTCTGTACGAGATGCTGTGCTAAAGTTATTCAGAGTGACTGACTTGTTGAGATGTTAATGTATGCAGCACACATACTATAGGCTGACATGCAAGAGAGCTATGATATAAATGTGAGAGTTTACGAGTAATTAACAGATTTTGCATGTAAAATGCAAATTAGTTTTTATTTGGAACACTAATAATGTTGCTAGCTAAATCAGTGTGCTTTAGTTGAGTTCCAGTAGCTGCTCAGTTTAGGCTAACATGACGAGCTCCTTAGTTGGCTATATTAGCAATCCAATGAGAAATGAATAGTAGATAGTTGCTGTAGTTATTTTGTTACCAACACATTATGTGCTACAACTAACATGAGAAAGTTTTTAATTAGAATATTGATGGCATAGGATCATGTAGTGTAAGGCTTCAAACAAGTATACGAATACAGATGCTTTGTGCAACATGGTTTTGCACATTGTTCCCGTTTGAAGGCCAGAAACATACTCAATGCAAGTACACGAACACAAATGATAACGCCCAGCCAATGCATTGCAAATGCAGAGCCCTTCTGTACAAACTCACCATGCATTTTACATTACTTTGGTGGTTAAAACACTGACTACTTAAGGTGTGATCTCTCTTATTCCAACAATAGCTAAATGTGGACAGTAGAGGAATGAGCTGCTTTGCCTGTTCTATTGAAATGAAAACATGATAATGTGTTATCTATGTTTTGTGAGAAAACCATTTTTGCATGAGACTCAACTGCACATCTGTTATGGCAGTTGAGAAGGCACGCTGGAAATACAAAACCACTTGAACAGGCTTGGATTTCACTATAGTGCCCCTTGATGTAACGCTCAGAATGTTGTGTTGTGTTATGAATTGCATTGTGACACGTTTTTGAACAGAACAACATGTCTGCATAGCTCGCAGCATCGGTGTTTGCATCCTTATGTGAAGTATGTTTCTGGCCTAAAATGTGTTGCAACGCAATTCATCACACAACACAACGCAAGCACAAGCTGCATTCTGAATGTTGCAGCAAGGGGCTCTATAGTGACAGCCAAGCCAGCCTGGCCAACCATGCATTATCACCTGTTAATTCTTGTAGAACAAGTAAAGTCGCTCATGTTCCTCTACTTGCCACATGTTTAGTAGCTGTGGCTGCTGGGAATAACAGTAGATCTCATTCAGATTTTCCTCTGTCGCCCCCTTGAGTACTGAGTGTTTCTTCTGCCACAGTAACATAACAATGCATCTTGAGTTTGTACAGAACTGTGCATTTACAGTGTGTTGGCCGAGTGTTGTATCACCTGATTTAGCACACATTTCAGCATACATTTTCAGCTGTATTTTTTAGACAACATTCTTCATGCCCTAACAAACGATGGTTAGGTTTAGGTTTTTAAGTTCAATGTGTTGTTTTGCCTCATATTTATGCCTCATATCCCAGCTGTCTAGTTTTAACTTAAACTTCTTCTTTCTTGGACAGAAATAATGCCTGTGGTAAGTGGACACATGCTTTATATTGAAGGGAGCTGTAGGTTAATAAAAGTCAGTGTTGGTTGGGTTTATGTGAATCCAATACTCTGGTTGATGTCAGTTGACATAGTGTTACTAATATTTTGTATCAGAGTAGAAGTGTTACAAAAGGTATAATGATGACTGCACTGCTGTCAGCAACAGGCTTTAGATTGATGCTACAACATTGTGGTACATAGCACGCTTAGAAATTGTATCTACCAAGTTGGCCTACCCACTTTTTCACTGACCCACCTAAAAATATATTTCTGCTTATGCCACTAATATGATAAATGCTGTATAACTTTGGAAATTTTGGAAGTCTGAGAAAGAATTACGGATTTTAATATGTAATATAATAATATGTAATAACCCATAATAAAATTTATAACATCTATGATAAAATTAATTAGAGAACCTAGATAACTGTGACAACTTCAATAACTATGACGACAAAAAATGGCAATTTTATTTTTTATATTTTATGCTTGACACACTCTGCATTGTCAGTTATATCTTTCTCTAAAATGTAAATGACCTTGTTTCTTGTGTCATGTTTTTTTGGGTTAGAAAGTTCATATGCAGGTGGGCGAGTCAGAGCAGAGCCTGTTCCAGAACACCCCTCATAACCTGCAGGAAGTGCTGTTTGTGATGGGTGGCCGTTCACTGGATGACTCTGATGATGAAGACGCGGAAGAGGATGGTGAGACAGATAGCAGGATTCACCCCAGGAACTGTGCCTTCTACAACCCAAAGCTTCGTAAGGATGACAACGCAGCTTAATCTCCTATCCTTTTGCAAGAACATCAAGAATGTTTGTTAGAATTCATGTCTCTGCTACTTTTTCACTAATCTTTCTGTTCTTTTGACAGAGCAGTGGCATCAGCTACCTGACTTTCCCAACTACAATAAGTGGGGCTATTCTGTTGTGTCTTTAAACAATGATGTTTATGTCACAGGTAAGCAACACTTTAACTGTTTCGTCCATTTCATGTTTAAAACTTCAAGAGCCCTGCATGTAGGCCCACACTTTAATCGCATAGGTACTTACATATTACTTTTAAAGTAGTTTCCAAATAATTTATAGTACTTACTAAATTAAAAGTCATAAGGTTAATAACAAGGCCCTCATTAACTGGATCAGGTGTGTTAGATTAGGAGTCAAGCTAAACTCTGCAGGGTGGTAGATCTCCAGGATTGGACCAGGATTGGGCACAGCTACCATAGGAAGTTTTTCCACTTCTCAGTAATTCTTCTTCATGCCATATTGGTATTTTTCCTTTTGAGTTGCGGTTCCTCTCAGTGTTTCGTCCTCATGTTCTTATGAAGTTTTTCCTTGTTTGAGTCTTAGTTTTTCTCAGTGTTTCTTCCACATTTTCTTAGCATGTTTTTCTTTTTGAGTCTTGGTTCTTCTTCTTCATGCCCTTCCTGTCAGTGTATCCTTCACCAGCACTCATTATTGAGTTACATCTGCATTTCTGGAGCTGCATTGAGACAATGGGCCAGATTCAGTGACGGCAAGAGAAGTTAGCGTGGCGGTAACACAATCATAAATAAGGATTACTGGTGTGTTTTATCACTAGTGTAATGTGAAGTGTGGCCGCGCTATTATCTCATTTAAGTATGGCAGTATTGATTTATAACATTCATGACACAGTAAAAAAATAACTGCAAAAAATAACTACTGAACCACAACCAGTAATTTTCCTGGGAAAAAAGCTGATGTGGACTAAATGATATTTTCTACAGTGTTTCTAAATGTGTTTGGCCCCAAATGCAACAAATCACACAGCTGATTAACTTGTATAGTCAAATGATACATTTTGATGGAGCAACATGACAAATGTTCTAACTACTTTTGTATGAGAACAGGGGAGAAAAAAAACTTCATATGCATTTCAGATTGACAGATTTGACTGGCACCATATTTAAAATGGCCTCTTCTTCCTGCATCAAATTCAGTGTATGGCATTTCCCCCTCTTGTGAATGGTTTGGAAGTTGGAATCCAAATAAGTGAAGAATAATTTAACTTGTTGAGATTCTAATTATGTTTGAATTGATTTTATTGCAAGTTGTTTTAATAGTAGATTTTTGATTGACAGATTTATTTTACCAACAAAGTTACTATTTACACATGATGCATTTCTTACAAGTAAAAACTGGATTTTTACTGTTGAAATTTATTATTTAATTTTCACATGTGCAAATCAAATTCCTGATATCAAGAATAAAATATATCCTTTTTTAAGAATGAATAAAAGCTACAACCCCATTTCCAAAAAAGTTGGGATGCTGTGAAAAATGTAAATAAAAACAAAATGCAATGATGTGCAAATCATTTAAGCACGATATTTCATGTAAAATGCTTCAAAGACAACATATTAAATGTTGAAACTGAGAAATTTTATTGTTTTTTAAAAAATATTTACCCATTTTGAATTTGATGCCAACAACACTTTCCAAAAAAGTTGGGGCGGGGCAACAAAAGGCTGGTAAAATTGTGTAATGCTCAAAAAAAACACCTGGTGGTTAATTGGCAACAGGTCAATAACATGGTTGGGTATAAAAAGAGCATCTCAGAGAGGCTGAGTCTTTCAGAAGTAAAGATGAGGAGGGGTTCACCACTCTGTGAAAGACTGCATGATCAAACAGTGCAAAAAATCAAGAATAACATTAATAGCAAAGAACTTTTGCTTTTCATCATCTACAATACATAATAACATTAAGAGATTCAGAGAATCTGGAAAAATCTCTGGATGCAAGGGACAAGGCCAAAAACCAGTATTTGCTGGCTGTGATCTTTGGGCCCTCAGGCAGCACTGCATAAAAACAGACTCGATTCTGTAGTGGAAATCACTGCATGGGCTCAGAAACACTTCTGAAAACCACTGTCTGTGAAAACAGTTCGTCGCTGCATCCACAAATGCTGAATAAAACTCTTAAATAAAACTCAAAGAAGAAACCATATATAAACGGGATCCAGAAATGCTGCCACCTTCTCTGGGCCCAAGCTCATTCAAAATCGACTGAGAGAAGTGGAAAAGTGTTCTGTGGTCCGACGAATCAACATTTGAAATTCTTTTTGGAAATCATGGACGCTGTGTCCTCAGGGCTAAAGACCACTCAGCTTTTATCAGTGCACAGTTCAAAAGCCAGTATTCATGATAGTATAGGGGTGCATTAGTGCACATGGCATGGGTGATGTGCACAACTGTGAAGACACCATTAACGCTGAATGATATATACATGTTTTGGCAACATATGCTGCCATCCAGATGATTTCTTTTTCAGGGAAGGCCTTGATTATTTCAGCAAGACAATGTCAAACTACACTCTGCATGTATTACAACAGCATTGCTCTGTATTAAAAGAGTCCGGGCACTAAACTGGCCTGCCTGCAGTCCAGACCTGTCACCACTGAAAACATTTGGAGCATTGTGAAATGAAAAATACGCTAAAGAAAACCCAGAACTGTTGAGTAGCTGAAATCCTACATCAGACAAGAATGAGAAAACATTTCACTTTCAAAACTACAGCAGTGTCTCCTCAGTTCCTGAACGCTTACAGAGTGCTGTTAAAAGAAGAGGTGATGAAACACAGCGGTAAACAGGTCCCAACTTTTTTGGAACGTGTTGTTGGCATCAAATTCAAAATGGGCAAATATTTTTCAAAAAACAATACAATTTTTTCAGTTTCAACATTTGATTTGTTGTCTTTGTAGTATTTTCGATGAAATATAGGGTTTAAATGATTTGCACATCATTGGATTTTGTTTTTGCTTACATTTTGCACAGCGTCCCAACTTCTTTGGACATGGGGTTGTAAAAGAGCCATAGTAATTAAGTAATATTGTTATTATTGTTATTATTATTATTATTATTCAGTTGAGAAATGAAATCTTACATGCTAAAATGTGTTCAACAAGTTTTTTATATGTATGAAGAATTTTCTACATTCCTTTTTATAGTAAAATCATTTTCTGATAAAAAAAATTTTCTAGATTAAAAGTTAAGAGCATGTTTATTATTTGTCAGCACTTTTTTCCTTAAAGTTCATAGCTTTGTCTTTGTTTTTTATTTTAGTTTTTTTTGGCAGCCAACTGGAGCTTGGAGGGTCCAGTGTATGAGCTCAATAACATGTGATCCTGATCGGCTCTTGCCCAGAACACTGGCGAAAATAACACAGCATTAAGACACCAGTGCCATCACCACAACGGTGTCTTTATGAATAGTTCTTATTTTCTGTGACTGCCGAGTTTTATGAATCTTTCCCAACGTCTGTTGTCTGTTAAAAGCGCTATGCAGAAGAACTTGGGTTTAACTGAGCTGAATTGACTTGATGAATATAATGATAATATGTGAATAATTAATTATTACTAAATAGTAAGCCTGAAGATTGAACACTGATAAATAATAAGCCTTGAGAGTAAGGGCTTAACTGAACTCCCTTGTGTTTTTACAAAACAGAGTGAGAAAGAGACTAAAAAGAACAGAGGATAGATTCTATTTTTAACATGAAAACAGAAACAAACCCAGCAACAAGTCCGGGGTTTTGAGGGTATTTATGGTAACAGGGGCTTTTGGAGCAAGTATCAGACAGATTTATGGCTTCCCTCCCCATATTTGAAAGCTGTATTACATGAATGGAACATCATATCTACAGAGGATTTGGAGAGGATGAAGAAGAAAACTCAGCTGCTGCACAGAAAATCTCCCTGAGATTCATATAAGAACTGGAACCACTTTAAGAAGTGAGGGCTACTGCACTCACTTGCTAATGGAACACTAGCTTTTCAAAGACTTGGCGAGAAATATTGAACTCTCTTCCAACTGCACATAGGCCTGTCCCACTCTTATGTTACCCTGTTTTCATAGGAGACCTTTTGTATTGCTGCTCTTTTGGGGTTTTATTAAAGAACCATTCTTACCCATTAATATTTGTCTAATACAAAGCCAGCATGAGTTTATAAGATATAACCAATGCATAAGAAAAGAGCATAATCTGTTCATGGCCTGAATGCGTTTTTTCAGGAGGTTCACGAGGTTCCCAGTCCAACACCTGGTCGACCACAGAAACCTGGAAGTTTATCACTCGTGAAGGGAGGTGGGTTACGGTAGCTCCAATGCTGCGGCCCAGGACTAACCACTCCTCAGCAGCTCTAAACGGAGAGATTTACATTATCGGTGGTAAGAAAATAAATAAAGATAACGAGAGTAGCTGCAGGCTGTATAGGATGATTTTCTGATTTTTATGGAGAATCTGCCCCCTATTTGCCCCCTTTGGAACAAAGAAATTATCTTTTAATCTGCAAACTACACTTCCATTCCTCACAGTGAAGAAAAAAAAGTGATACATTTAATACACCAAAAACAAATTTTACACTAACAATTTATTCCACTAACATTATTGTCAAAAGTGCGCAAACTAAAAGAAAATTGTGTCAAATCTGCTTTTGTCAGTGCACTTTGATAACTGCATACATTTTAGTTTGACAGTAGTTAGTGAATAATGTTTTACTATTAAAGGGTCCTTAGCACTTTTTGAAAGAAGAATTTGATGTAGTATGTAAACAATGTTAAAGTGTCAGAACATGGCAAATTATTGTTTATTGTTTTTTGTGATGTCACAAAAACCAGTGTATTTATATACAGCACTGTCCAAAGGTTTTAGGCGCCTGAGGAAGTTATATTTAGGAAGCTGGTTAACTGGGCAGTAAGCATTATTTGCTCAGACAAACACTAATATTAGAATAAAAACATTAAAATGGCAACAATTAATTTAAATATGTTAATGTGTAATTCTTGTTACTTTTTGCTATATGTGTTTATTTGCATTTATTCTAATGTTATATGGCACAGGTCGGCAACCCAAATGTTAAGAAGAGCCATTTAGTCCTTTCAACAAAACTCAAACCACCTTGGGAGCCGCATTTTATGTTCATTTTACCATCTTGACTGTAATCATGTCTCAGTATATGCTAATGTTCTAGTATGAGCTAAAAAAAAAATATAAACAAAAACGCAGACTTGTTCTGCTTTAAGCTTTTGCTCAGTTATAGCAGCTTTTCTCACATCTCAGGCAGGACACTTTTCCACAAAAGTAGAATAATTTCTTATAAAATGTTTCTCAACGTTCAGTTTTTTATGAGGCTGAAGTTGCTTCTCATTTGCCAGCTTCTAGTTTGAATTTTCCTGTTTCACTTTAAATGGTGTCTGAGGCGCCAGAATGTAACTGCGGCACTATTTAAGGTGGAAGCTGGCGAATGAGAAGCTGACGTCAGTTTTCTGACTTTTTAGTGTTTGACAGTTTCTTGTTGCAGATTAAATGTATTAGGAAACCAGCTGAGGGCTTAGAAATGCAAGTAATAAGTCTATTCTTCTCCAAATTCTCACTGTTCATCTTAAATCTTTCTCTTTGGCATTTCATTAGCTTCTAGCTAGACGAAATTGTTGTCTGCTTTGCTATGGTGACCAGCAGTCTGCGTGCCAATCTTCAGGGTTAAAGAGTGAATTAGCAGTTATATATTAACTCCAGTGTTTAAGACCATTTATTATTAAACTGTGTTAGAACGATCAGCAGAGCTTTATTTTACTGCAAAGAAGGATCATTTTATTTTTACATAAAAATCTAATTTTGCTGTGGAGCTGCAACAGGGCAGAAAAAGAGTCACATGCTCCGGAGCAGCATGCTGCTGACCCCTGTTATATGGTGTTGCATACATCCAATGTTACATGGTGCTGCGTACATTGCTGTGATAAATGGTTTTAAACAATTTGCTTAGGTGCTTAAGACAGTAGTGTATATCGGCCTATTCATCCTACAGCAGTTTATCCCCACCCATTCATGCTTAAGCCTCAAGGAGTGTTTCAGTACTACTTTTTTTGGACTACTTTTTGAATGGGGAACAATGTAAGGCAGCCAATCAGAACACAAGTCATTTCCCTATAGCAGTCTTAAAATCACAGTAAAAAGAACAGCCTGTTTAATTCTAAGGGATAAAGAGAGGTTGGAAAATGATCATGCGAAAATGAATCATGACTGTTTTTGGTGCATAAGCCCTCACAAATGTCATAACTGGACCTTGGGGAATAAAAATAAAATGCAAAAAAATGAAGAGTATAGGCACTTTAATAACTGAATAGAAACACTGTGATTTAGTGGGATAGTTGATTTTTACACAGTAAAAAGTACTCAAATAATAACATATCAGAATGGTAGACAGATTGTTGTTTGTTAACTTACTGTAAAAAATGACAACCAAATTACTGATTTTTTAAGTTAAAACAACAAATCTTTAATAAGTTTTTTAGCAGTTGCCCTCACTCATCTGTCCCAGAGGGTCTTACAGTGTTGTGTCTATTTACTCTCAGGCACTACGATGGACATTGTAGAAGTGGAGCATTATGACCCATACAGTGATAGCTGGGCTCTCACAGCCCCTGCATTGAAATATGTGACGAACTTCACGGCCACCGCATGTCTGGGGAAGCTGTATGTCATCGGCTCCTGTGCTGTCAAATATAATGCCCTGACCCTGCAGTGCTTCAACCCTGTCATAGGTGGGAGTCACCGAGGATCATGAACTGTCTGTGTTTTTTTATTATAGTTATTACAACCAGATGCCCAGCAGCACAAGGATCAGCACCTGTCAAATTAGATGCACTTTTCACATAGGGAACATTTGTAATACAGCTTATAAAGTAATGAAAAAGGCATAAAACCCCATACAGCCTTTTGTAACTGCGGGTAAGTTATGGTTATGCATTGAGCATACTTATCTCCTGAGCCCTATAAGACAAAAGCTCCAAAGTGAAAGCTTCAAAAAAAGTGTGTTGAATTTACTTGAATCAAATGTGAACATTTCCACACAAATAAAATACATTCCATCAGCACAGTAGTTTACTTATATTTGGTGATAATGTTCATGTAATATATATTATAATTGTGGAGCTGATCTACACTATTCAAACACTAGGCTGGTTTTCTGGATGTGGATTTGGCCTACTCTTAGACTTTATTGCAGCGCCAAGTGAATAATCATATATATATATATATATATATATATATATATATATATATATATATATATATATGTATACCCATATTTGAATTAAATTCACATCATTTACACACACCATTTCACAGTATAGCTTCATATAGTGCATACTGCCGTGCCCAAAATTTTATGTTTGAATTTCTTCAATGATTTTTTTTCTTTCTTTCTTTCTTTCTTTCTTTCTTTCTTTCTTTCTTTCTTTCTGTCTTTGCTTGTTTGTGTGTTTTACAGATGGCTGGAGTATCATCTGTTCTCCATTCATCCCGAAGTACCTGTCCTCTCCTCGGTCTGTTTCTATGGATGGGGTTATTTATCTGATAGCAGACAACACAAAGAAGGTGTTCCTCTATGACCCTGATGCTAATATATGGCAGAAAGTGAGTTTTTACATATTTGCAGCACTATGCACCTTTTAATCTACTTAATAAAAAGCAGAAAATATACATTTAGAAGAAAAATTACACAGAAGTCTCAACAACTAAATATGTGTCCACACTTTGCCTTTATTGTAACATTGGTTTTTCCACACTTCAAGTTGCATTTCCTGCCAATTACAAATTAAGATTCATCAGTCCATAAAACCTTACTCTATCTCATATGTCTATATTTGGTGTTTTAGTGCAAATTTCGGTCTATTTCCTTTTCTAAGTAACAGCTTCTTAACAGCTGCACATCCTTTCAGACTCATAGTGTTGAGTTGTCTTCTCACAGTGGAAGCGTGGATAAAACACCTGATGTGAATCAAGAGTGGAGCTTGATTTTCTCCTCTCTCTCAAAGATGAAAGCTTAAAATACTGTTTATCTGACAGTGACAGTTTTGGCAGACAGTTTACTAGGTCTTGTAAAGTTTTCCCATTTTCTGTATAGCTTTTGATAATTTCTTGAACTCCAATGTTGAAACTCCACTGTCTTGAACTCCAGTTTCTGTCACATATTTTTCTTTCTCATTTCTTATGCAAGTGGATTGTCTTATCTAACCCAGAAATATCTGCTTTAGCCATTTTACATGCTAATGAGAAAGAAATTGGTGAGGCTGCTGAGGTGTGTTTGGGTTAGTTGCTTGTGTGACTGTCAGTGTCTCTTTGAAAGAGAACATAATGTCATTGGCTTTTTTGGGAAAAGCTTTTGCTGGGAGGACACAGCTGTAACACTTTTAAGAAGAGGCACTTTAATATTGATAGATTTGATATTATGCTCAGGGTCGGAGTCTCTAGTGTAATTTTCTGTTTAAGTGTTTCCTGCTTTTGAACTTGTACTTTATGGCTGTTTTGACTGGAAATTGAGTAAATTAAAGGGTAGTCTCTGGCTTTTGTACAGTATTGTACAATATATCTTCTAAGATTGTCCCATTTAAAATGAAAATTTGAATGTAATGCTAATTTCTGATGTATTCATTCAAAGCACTGCAACAGTACCTCTGAACAATCCAGTAGTTCTGAATACTTAGATCTTTTCCAGAATGTATTGAATGAGAATTTTCCAGAATGTAAGGATGTCTTCTTCTCGCTCAGATCCAGTTCCTGCATAAGCTTCATGAGAACGGAGGTTTGGTTGTCCTGGGAGGGCAACTGTATGTGACAGGGGGCCACTGGAAAGGAATGGAGGGTGATTACAGTGTGGAGGTGGAGGTGTATAAGCGAGCATCCAACACGTGGAGGGTGGAGTGCTTCCTCCCCAGGCTGTGGTATTACAGTGGCTGCTGCTCTGTCTTCCTCGACACAGCCCAGTGGCCTGAGCTCTTCCCCGAGGAGACATGAAGGAGCCCATCATGGTGAGAGAAAGCTGTTCCTACCTGCTGCTGCAGAACCAGATAAAGTTTCCACCCAGAAACTTTTTTGTTACTTCCGAGAAAATCTGCTTGAGTAAAATTGAAAACGTACTTCCAGGAGCATGGAAAGTGGAAGTACTAATGAAAGATTTTTCGTCTCATTTTTCCTGACTAACTCTGTTATTTTTTAACAATACATTACCTCTGATATGACTACAACAAAGTTTCTGACTTACAGATTGGAAAGTTAATAACTAAATATTGTGTATGAAAGTAAAAATACATGAAATTACTAACCACCATTTAAAAATGCTTGAAGAAAATAATATTTCTATCCAGGCACTGGACAAACAGGGCTTATCTGTTTATCTAGACTTTTGTGAACAGGACAGCCTTTTCCATGTTTATTTGTATTTCGCTCTGCGCTGTAAGATTGATGTGTAAGATTTTTCTTTGATAAAAACTTTTGTCTCCAATTAAATACTAAATAAACCATTTTTTTTCTTAAATTACATGCATGTATTATAATTGTGATCATGTTTTTGCTGACAAGAAATATGCTTAGTTGTCCAAAAGACCCATTTAAAAGGTAATGCTGTTGTGACAGGCAGTGCCCTAGACAGTTATCATACAGGTTAAAGTATAGGCTACTTTAATTAAGTAAATAGTTGAAAACATAAAAGCATGAGGATAATTCCTGTTTTATCATCCTTGAATGCCATTACATATGGAATGCAGTTAAATGGCTCTGGCTTTTTTCTTTTATATAGATAGCTATTTTGTTTAAACTCCTCTCAATCTGCCTCTGTCCTCTGTTTAGCAAGTTATTTAAAATAAATAACTTATTATAAGTGTCTAAAACATTATTATGGCATTATTACTCCTGCTCAAATATATTTCTCAAGAAAGGAAACTACTTTAGTATTCAGTAGTGGGGGTATCATGATTGGGTTTAATAGGAGTATCCAACAAAGGCTCAGTCCTTGCAAGCAAAGGTGGGTCATGGCTCACCACTCTGTGCCAAACCTCATGAGAGAATTGTCAAACAACATTTCTCAACGCAAGATTGCAAAGAATTTAGGTCTTTCACCATCTACTGTACATAATATTGTAAAAAATCTCTAGGCTGGAATCCACTGTTGAATGTGTGATACCTTCAAGCCCTTAGGTGTTTTTGCATGAGAAACCATCAAGCTACTGCATTAAATATAACCACATGGGCTCAGGAGTACTTCAGTAAGATGTTGTCACTAAACACAGTCCGCCACTGTATCAAGAAATGCAACTTGAAACACTATTATGTGAGGAAAAAGACATAGATCAATTCTGTGCAGAAATGCCGCCAAGTTCTCTGGGCCTGAGCTCATCGCAAATCGTCTGAAAGACAGTGGAAATGTGTGATGTGGTCAGATGAGTTCACGTTTCTGCTTGTTTTGGGGGAAAATGGATGCTGAGTTCTCTATGCCAAAGAAGAAAGGAACCATCCAGACTTTTATCAGAAACAGGTACAAAAGCCAACATCTGTCACGGTACCAGGGTGCATCAGTGCCCACAGCATGGGTGACCGCATGTGTGAAGGTACCATTTATGCAGTCCAGATCTGTTTCTTATTTAAAATGTATGGTGCATCATGAAGAGGAGAATTAGACAATGATGGACGCAGACTGTTGAATGCTGATGTCTTGTATCAAGCAAAAATGAGCTAAAATTCTACTTGCAAAACTGCAACATTTAGTTTCCAAACGATTAAAATATGTAATATAAAGAAAAAAAAGATGATGTAACACAGTGGTAAACATGCCTCTGTCCCAACTTTTTTGAGTGTGTTGCAGGCAACAAATTCTAAGTTTGTTTATATTTACAAAATACAATTAAATTGGTCAATGAAATCACTGGATGTCTGTTCTTTGTACTTTTGTCAGTGAAATAAAGGTTCATGAGAATTAACAAATCACAGATTTGTGTTTTCATTGCATTTTATAAAATGTCCCAACTTTTGTACTGTAGCAAGAGCAATCCAAGCAAGAGGAACAGAGCCTAACAAACTGAAGTCACTGTGCTGGCTGAGTAAATTCCACTGCAGTTCTAAAGGGAACTCTGGGGGAGTTTGATGCTGGTTTTGGTAGCTGCTTTAACGTCTACTCGCTTTTTTACTCTTGCAGGCTTTTAGGCTGTTCTGGCCACATTTGATTATTAACTTGTACCCACATGAACACAGACGCTCTAATCCTTACACTCTCGCGTCTCCGTAACCACGGCAACGAGAAAGCTAGCGTTCTGTTCCCTTGGCAACCGCCCTGGGAGCGTTCCGTTTCCATAACAACAGGCGCGACCCGCCTCGAGCTCAGTAGCGTTTGCAATCTGTTTTTGCAAAAGTTTTGCTCAGGCATCGTCGCACCAAGCGGCCTTTTATCTGTTTAATTAGAGAAACATTAACATCAGGCTCAGTGCATCGCTCATCGGTAACCTCTCTGTGTCTCAGAGTGCTTCCAGTTTGACTCTGCAGCTGTAGTAATTAGTTCTGCTTAGCAACACTCAGCTATACCCCTCAAGACACAACGACATTCATGCGTTAAAAAGACGAAACGCTGCACTGCATCGGCTTAGTTGCAAAACTAGTCTTGTGCATTGGCTGCTGCTTGGATTAACCTCGGTTTCCACATGAATTCTCGGGGGGATCGAGGTGAGCACTCTCCCCGACTGGAGGCTGTGATTCAGGTGCGTATGTCCCAGGAGGTAATCCGATCACTACTAAATGTTGCGGGCTAGATAGATTATTGCACCGTTGCCTACTCAAAACCGCAAGTGCGATTGAAAGAGGAGAGAGCTTGATTTAATATTAACGAGGCTTGCAATGTTTCAACAAATTAAGGTCGATCAGAAGGTCAGTTTCAGTTCCATCCTGAAACCTGAAGCCGGGTGCTGGGCACTGCTCTCGCCGGCTAGTCGAATTTCAGTGCATTTATTTTGGGAAAAGTATGAAACAAAGTGATAGAAGAGACTTCTAGTAACCATTCATGTAAAGATAAGTAGGTTCCACTTACCGTATAGGTGCACTTTGTAGATCTACAGTTACAGACTGTGGTCCATGCTCTGCATGCTTTCTTAGCCCCCTTTCACCCCGTTCTTCAATGGTCAGGACCCTCATGGTACCACCATAAAGCAGGTATTATTTGGGTGGTGGATCATTCTCAGCACTGCAGCGACACTGACGTGGTGGTGTGTTAGTGTGTGTTGTGCTGGTACAAGTGGATCAAACACAGCAGTGCTGCTGGAGTTTTTAAACACCTCAATGTCACTGCTAGTCCACCAACCATATCCACCCAACAGCATCTGTGGGCAGCGTCCTGTGATCACTGATGAAGGACTGGAGGATGTGCAGCAACAGATAAGCTACTGTCTCTAAATTTTACATCTACCAGGTGGACAAACAAGGTAGGTGTGTCTAATAGAGTGTACAGTGAGTGGACACAGTGTTAAAAACTCCAGAAACACTGCAGTGTCTTATCCACTCGTACCAGTAAAGCACACACTAACATGACAAGACCATGTCAGTGTCACTGTAGTGCTGAGAATGACCCACCACCCACATAATACCTGCTCTATGGTGGTCCTGACCATTGGAGAACAGAGGGGCTAATAAAGTGTGCAGAGAAACAGGTGGACTACAGTCTGCAGATGTTAATGATAGATGTTAATGATAGATAGATGTTAATTTGTTGAAACATTGCAAGCCTAGTTAATGGCTCTGTCTAGTCATCTAAATGAAACTAAAATAATGCATATGCATCATACATTCACAGAGTGGGTGAGATCACCTTAGTATGCCGTGCCCAGCAAAACCAGCATATGTTGTGGTTTGGGTGTGGGTATGCTAGTCAACCGGCTATATCAGTTTAGGCCAGCACACATCTAGTCTGGTCTATGCACTTTTATCAGCAAGGTGGCTCTGTCCATTCATGACTATGATGATGTTTACAGAAACTAGAGGAATCCCTGCTGAACCCAGACAGCAGTGCTGAAGAAAAGACCCTCACTGTCCGTGGAGACGATGTGGATTCCACAGCCACACCAGTTCCTGCCCGCATCCGGCAGATCATCACCCGAAACCTGGCTGAAGGGCCTGCAGGTACACGCTCTCCTCTTACATGTGACCCAGCAGCAGGGAGTAATCAGCAAGCAGGTGTGTGTTCTGACCTTTCCTCTGGTTCGCTCCTAGTGTCCGTTGCTGCTGTGACTGCTGGTGACGAGCAGAGTGTGCAGGAAGAGCAGCAGTGCCTGAAGGCTCTGCTTTCACAGACTCGTCTGGACAGAGACCAACTGGTCAACAAACAGACCGCTCTGACCAGCAGGGTAGGAGCACACAAATGTATTCCTATGCATAAATTTAATTTACTCCTTCTGGGTTAGAAGTGCGCGAAGCAAGTCACTTGACGGAAGTTCCACATGAACAAAATGAAGGGTGGAGTCAAATCATAGGGGACAAAATCAGGGGGTAAATACTTGTAATTAGTAATCAAAATAGATTTTTACATTGTTAGTTCATGTCCCTAGTTATTCACCACGCATCATTTGCAAGACAAAATTCTTATTTTCCTCCAATCTTTGACTGAAGTGTAGTGATTTTTCATCACCTTAAAAATGTCCTCTGAATTTTGATGACATCATCGTGCACCAGTGGGCAGGTAAAAATATTGCTCAGCTATCTCCTTAATACCGTTTTTCACTCGTAGGTATATAACGATACAGAAGAAGAGTGCGTTATGATTTCTAATTCACATTGATTTTTATCTTTGTACTTTTTAAGTATTAGTAAAATTCAATGTTGAACTCATTTTCATTGCCAAACTGTTTACTCTTACATTTTGTCTAGATTTCAAGATCCCTGCTTCAAATCTGAAAGGCCATTTGTTTCTTGCCAATCAGTCAAAGTCCCATACATTTTATTATTATTTTAGACTAAAACAAGCAAATTCATATTAGTGTAACATGAAACTTGCATGACTATGCAAATTTGCCTTTGTGCAAGAACCAGTATTGCTTGTCAGTCAGGTTCGTAGACTCACTAGTCTGGGTTAAGGTTAGAGTGTGATTAGCTCAAGGCCAGCATTAAAGCATTAAAGTTACTTTGATGTAAAATGTTGCAAATAAATATTAAAATATTTATTTTTTACTTTTACATATTTCAGTAGAATATAAGTTAAATATTCATTTTTGACTTTTAACTCAAGTATATTTTTACACTTGGGACTCCTGCACTCAAAAATGTGTTTTTTACATGGGTAACCCCTTAAATGGCTAGGTCCCACCGGCAGACCTAAAGTTTTATTACACACTGCTATAACCTAAGAACAGCTCAGCCAGTTTGCAGTTAGTCCCTATAATTAATGAATAATAAACCTTAGTATGTAATAAGCATGGGATTTTAAGGGGTTAATTACTGTAGGATTGCCTTATTACTATTATATAGACTGCTATTTGTATCAAATGTGTCACTGTAGCGCAGTTTACAAATAGACAGTTTCAGCAAATCCAAAAAAAGCGGTTTGTGAGATGCTACGTAGCAGCTTTGTTTTGTACATCACGAATGAGCTTGAACCTTTCACAGTCCAATATACTAAAATATGTTAATGAGAAGATGTGGCAGGCACTGACAAGAGTAAGGCCAGCGGCCATAAGGCCAGCGGCGGAGTCCCAAGAACCGCTGGAAGCCCGTGCTGCCAATGCCAAACCAGCATCAGTTGGCTCTTGTTAAGGGCAGCACGAGCACCTGAGCCAAGAGAGAGAGAGAGAAAGAACTTGCTCCTCAACCCCCCGTTGCCTCAGCCCTTCACATGCCACGGCATCGCCACAAGGGTTGAACATGAGGTCCAGCAGCTCATGGTTGTGCCTCCTATGTGCCATCTTTTACCAATGTATTACACAGCACCAATCATTCAGACAGTGAGCTTCTCTAATGAAAGTCATTTTTATGTAAATTGGTTGGCAAACTTCACCTGTACACATTCGGGGACTTGACAGAGCCACTGTTTGGAGAGAGCATGATTGGAAATTGTGCTGTGTTTGCAAAAGGTGATGAATGGCTTAGACCTTTTTCATTAAAGAATGATGGCATTATTCTAAATAACACTGAAGGGTCTTATTGCAGGCTGTCACCAATGAATGCCTTGCAATTAAGGTGCTATCTGGTGCAGACAGATTTTGGGATTCTGGCCTGATCCTGGGTCTACTCTGCTTGTGCATTGGATTTTTTCCTTGGGTCTGATTTCATTTAAGAAAAAGTTCTTTTGGAATAGTTCATGCATAAAAGCAGATTCGGAGTTGAAAGGAAATGACTTTCCGATTCTAACCTAGACTTGTGTAAATTATTGGACTTTAGTTTCCAGTATCCAAATACATGGATTCCGTGAATGAGAGCCAAATTATGCAGAAAGCATAAGAGTTTCATTATGAAACACTTATTAGGAGAAATGTGGCCTGTGTGCCTCATTTGGACCTGGTCATGTTCTCCGGGCAGTAACTCTGGCACTATTTGCAATAAACAATACTTGAACATGGCACCAATATACTTCCATCTGGTTTGAATATGGGACTGCTGCAATGCTTTAGAGAGCTACATTCTTTAAAACAGGGCTGGTAGCACTGGCATTGCATCACACATGCACTTCGTGTTTTGGAAGCTTACGTGTGACACAGTTTCAGTTGTTTTTTGGTAAATCATTGCTGGCTTACACAGTGGCAGATGTTTCCTGCTGATATGTTGCCCTTATTCCCATGTGTTTTAGGTGAAAGGCCTGACTCTTAATCACCTCTTTAGGGTAGAACCACGAAGGCCCGCTGCCCCTTTCTTAATGCTACCCATATAGAGTTGCTGTATTCTGTATTCTAACTTCTTTGGTTTGCTTCTTTGGAGTGCTGCTCCACTTCTGTACTGGAGAGGCAGTATACAGTGCTGGCTCAACAAAAACATCATCCACCAAGTAGCATCTTTCCCACTGCATGCACGCTTGCTGTGTGATCTCAAATAAATGTGCTTGTGTGGCTTCCCAGACAGCAAACTTTGATTGAGAAAATATTGATGTTGGGCAAAACTTTGAATCAATGTAGATCTCTGATGTTGAATTTGCATTGATCTTGCACTGAATGTTGTGTTAGCCATTGATTCAACTTTGGACAAAACAACAGTGTTGAACATTGGCCTAAAGTTGATTCAACAGCACTCGCTGATGGTTGAATAACTGTTGATCTAATGTCCCTACTAATGTTGATTTAATGTTGAAGCAGTGTTTACTCTGCTTGTGCGATGTTGATTCAATGGTGAAAGCATAGTAAATTCAGTTCAGTATTTACAAAATATTTGCAGTGGTAGGCAAATGCAGTGTTTGGAGGCTTACCCAAAGACTTTTATTCCTATGTAGTGGTGCTGCCTCAATGAGGATCTTCTGCATGCAAGCAAGTGGGGGCCCCTGTGCCATGTATTACACCTTTTTTGCTTCTAGTTTCTAGTTGTGTTGACAACACAAGGTCTTATAGACAAAAGCAACTTTTGTATTGGGGGTCCTTTCATGTTTATTTATTTATTTTAGTTTGAAGCAAGTGTGGGATGATTTAAGCATGCAGTTTGCACAATGCTAATGGATGTTCAAAAGCTGACACCTTTTAGCCTTGTAGATCTGTTGTGAACTAAAGAGGCATTTACTGTCTTTCATCTGCTTGTTCTGCAGTTTTAAATTTAAAATTAATCTGCTAAACATCCTGATTTACTCTCCTATTAACTTGGAACACTTAATACTGCTGAGAGTCTGGCTAAGAATCTTGTCTTCAATCTTCCCAGTTTCTCTCAGGGAACAAAGTGCATCCTGCAGTCCAAGTTCTCTATTTTCGCCCCTGCTTGAGATACCACAAACCCTTATTGCTTGTATGGGCCACAGAAACCACGGTGTGTTGATGATCTTCAAAGATATCAGTATCATAATTAGAATTCACTGTGACATTTCGTGCAATGGGAATTTACAGTTGTTCCTCGGTGTTTCCCTTTCAGATTCCCACCTGCTGTGTTCTAACTTTGCGTTGGTTTTGTTTTTTAATATTTTGTCACATCCACTAAATCCAAATCATGGTTTAAATGAACTCGCTGGGTTTTTTTTGGGAGAGCTGGACCTGTCACTTGTGGCCTATACAACTTTAAGCAGTTTTATGCATTGAATGTCTTTTGAATGTTTGATCTTATCTATTACTTTTTTCCGAGTGTTTCCTTACCCATGGATTTAAGCTCCAGTAATGATTATTGTATAACATCTACATTACTTTATCTTTGAATCTCTGGGACTGGTGAGCCCCACTTCTGTTAAATTCTGTTAACCCTCTTAAGTGTCCCTTTTTAGGCTTATCAAGTAACAATATCTCACACCTATCAAAACTGAGCTTTTTCATTTATCATCATTAAATGTGACTGGCTGTTATAGACCACCTCTGGCTATGCCAGAAACTTCAAAAACACTTCCCAAACTCTCTGATTTGTGCACATCTGATGTTTTATTTGTGGATGGTTTTCAGGTGGATTTGAATTTGATGTCACTAAGCTCCACGAAAGTAAGGTGAGCTATGGTGGTGTTCTGGCAAGTTGTGCTACCTTATTGAAATGTTCTACCGTAGCGCATATTTACAGGTTTACCCACGAATAAAAAACTTTCAGGGTAGGACATTTTGATAGGCTAAAACCCAGTATCAAAAAAATACTACGAGTGTTAAAGATATGAGGCTGAATGTAGTTTCTTTTTCATGAGCTTCATGTCCGAATTTTCCCGTTCCCGAAATGTCCTCAGAAGATGTCCTCAGAAAATGTTACCAGCATTAAAATAATAATTAGCATATTTTGATAAATCAGCTTATTAGGGGTGAGCAGTTATATTAACCTGAGTCTGTACAGAATTAGCCTGAGTGCAAGTAAGTTTGTAGGGCTTTTCAAATCAAGCTATGTACAGAACGAAAAGACCTGTCGTGTTCCAATGAGTATCGGATGAAGAGCAGAGAACTGCAGGGAAACCTGCTTCTTTTGTTCTGGCTTCTTTTCATATGCTCTCAGTCTGTACATGGAAATACGCTACCACACTGGCAAAGTGTGCTGGTTTGCGTGGTTTTTAAGGATGCTGCTAATATCCTGCTAATATAACATTTTGAGTAAGGAGGAAAAAACTGTGCTGGGTCTTTAAATCTGATCTGCTCAGTAAACTTGCTTTCTAGGCCTAATTTGAAACACGCTGAAAAGCCTTCTCTCTCACAGATCATATCTTCACTGTGTTTCTCAGAATTACAGTACAAGTGTTTAGTTTTTTTCATTACAGTCTCTATGA